AAGATATATATATAATTTTTTTTTTCATAAAAAAATTAAATTGAACACATTGGACTATTTATTGAGGTTTTATTTCTGGTTCAGCATTGAGTTAGATCACGCTAATTCAGCATTGGGTTAGATCACGCTAATTCAGCATTGGGTTAGATCACGCTAATTCAGCATTGGGCTAGATCACAATAATTCAGCATTGGGTTAGATCACGCTAATTCAACATATAGTATGATCACGCTAATTCAGCATTGAGTTAGATCACGCTAATTCAGCATTGGGTTAGGTCACGCTAATTCAGCATTGGGTTTGATCACGCTAATTCAGCTTTGGGTTAGATCACAATAATTCAGCACTGGGTTAGATCACGCTAATTCAGCATTGAGTTAGATAACGCTGATTCAGCATTGAGATAGATCACGCTAATTCAGCATTGAGATAGATCACGCTAATTCAGCATTGAGTTAGGTCACGCTAATTCAGCATTGGGTTAGATCACGCTAATTCAGCTTTGGGTTAGATCACAATAATTCAGCACTGGGTTAGATCACGCTAATTCAGCATTGAGTTGGATAACGCTGATTCAGCATTGAGTTAGGTCACGCTAATTCAGCATTGGGTTAGGTCACGCTAATTCAGCATTGGGTTAGGTCACGCTAATTCAGCATTGGGTTAGGTCACGCTAATTCAGCATTGGGTTAGGTCACCCTAATTCAGCATGGCGTTAGGTCACGCTTATTCAGCATTGAGTTAGATAACGCTGATTCAGCATTGAGATAGATCACGCTAATTCAGCATTGAGATAGATCACGCTAATTCAGCATTGAGTTAGGTCACGCTAATTCAGCATTGGGTTAGATCACGCTAATTCAGCTTTGGGTTAGATCACAATAATTCAGCACTGGGTTAGATCACGCTAATTCAGCATTGAGTTGGATAACGCTGATTCAGCATTGAGTTAGGTCACGCTAATTCAGCATTGGGTTAGGTCACGCTAATTCAGCATTGGGTTAGGTCACGCTAATTCAGCATTGGGTTAGGTCACGCTAATTCAGCATTGGGTTAGGTCACCCTAATTCAGCATGGCGTTAGGTCACGCTTATTCAGCATTGGGTTAGGTCACGCTAATTCAGCATTGGGTTAGGTCACGCTAATTCAGCATTGGGTAAGATTTGTCCATTAACGCTATTTATTAGTTCATTAACTGCCTTGCACAATATTTGACTAACATTTTACGTGTCCCAAATTGATGACATTTTTTTCTATGAAAATGTTTATTAACTAAGCTGTTGAAGATATTACTTCAGAGGGATCACATTAATTAACGTTTATTATTGTTGTCTTTGAGAATGTATTTAGCTTCCTATGAATATTTGAAATCATCTAAAGATGACCGTCAACAAACATACTGTATAGGAAAGGGAAGGCACTGTTGTTACAAAACATTAAACTTAAAAACAATTCTTATCATCTATAGCAGTGCTATACTGAATTAGAGCATCGATTTTCCGATTTTATTGGGGGGTACTTCGGATAATCGAACACAAAGGCTGCGTCAACGCTATTAGTTTACATAATAAAAAGTATTCATACCTGTTGGTTTTTTTTAAATCTAAGAATGGTGCATTATTGAAAAGTGTGTCACCAAGGTCAGCTGATTGAGGTTAAATACTGGTCAGGGATCAATTTTTTTCTATGCAATTACGTTTTTCCAAACCCAGAGGACTGACGATTAGAAGTTTTTAAAAAAACTGAGTACCATACTAAACAGATTATGATACTAAACGGTGTACGAAACTAATCTGAGTACGAGACTATCAGCTTACTACAATGTCGGGAAGCTAGATGAATTGTTGACTCATCGACCTGTAAGTGCGAGAACAAGAACATGAACGACAAGGAAAATAACTGCAACAGCAACAATAAAAATACGCTCATTCGAAGTTAAATAAAAAAGGTTAAATATATTAAGATAATATAAGATAAGATCCAAACAAATGGAAATGTTTTTTTTTCATTTCATTGTAGATTTACATTTTCAGCATACAAATAAATACATATTTTAATAAATGACACAATTTACAACTAAAACAAATTGAACATAATCCATCTACATTTAATTATTTCTCTAGTGAAAAAAGCCATGCAGTGATCTCCCTTAGTCAAGTAAAAGAATACTAAATATGAAAATGTTTCAATATTGAGATAAACCTTCAATGACACAGGTTAAAATAACTGAGATAAATATACACTTGGAGCGAGCAGTCTTCTTGTGGTAATATAGTTGTTGACACTAACATTAAAGGATTAGTTGATTGGAGGATTATACGGTCGATGTATAAGTCTGGGCGTCCCTCTGACAGTTTGGTCTTAAATGTAAGCCAGAAGGAGTAAAGTATCGTCAACCAGTTGCTTGATATCTCCCTCTCTCTCCACCTCTCTCCCATTTTGCAATGGAATGAGACCTGCCGTATAAAAATGAAAAGGTGTTCCTTACTTTGGAATACAAATTATATCTCCTAGTAAACCCAATATTCAAATCGACACAACTTATACTAATTTACCAGCCCGTCAGAGTTAGAAGATAAAGGTTATTTTTTGTTAAATGATTATTTAGTCGAGCGATTCGAGAGTTTTCTTTTAATAGAATTCCCAGATAGGATTAAAAAACCCATTTAATTTATTATTATTATCAATATATAAAGTTGTACGGCTATTTCAGCAAACATGATTTTCTGTCAAAGTTTAAAGATTGTTACTGAATGTTTTGCCTTCAGTGTGTCATTTATTTATTATGTTTCGTTAGTGGAGATGGCATTGTGACATTTACATGGCATTGTGACATTTACATGACAAGACATCTTCCATAGTGGGTCGTGATTCTCGTGATAAACTTATTCTTGAAATGCATCCAATAGGGTTTGACAGGGGGCGGTGTGGGCGAGTTTATGGGCCCAAAGTTCATGTTTATGATGAGATAGTATGATGAGATGGTATGATGAGATGGTATGATGAGATGGTATGATGAGATGGTATGATGAGATGGCATGATGAGATGGTATGATGAGATGGTATGATGAGATGGTATGTTGAGGTGGTATGAGATGGAATGATGAGATGGCATGATGAGATGTATGATGAGATGGTATAGTGAGATGTATGATGAAATGGTATGATGAGATGGTATGATGAGATGGTATGATGAGATGGTATGATGAGATGGTATGTTGAGGTGGTATGATGAGATGGAATGATGAGATGGCATGATGAGATGTATGATGAGATGGTATAATGAGATGCATGATGAAATGGTATGATGAGATGGTATGATGAGATGTTATGATGAGATGGTATGATGAGATGGTATGATGAGATGGTATGATGAGATGGTATGATGAGGTGGTATGTTGAGGTGGTATGATGAGATGGAATGATGAGATGGCATGATGAGATGTATGATGAGATGGTATAATGAGATGTATGATGAAATGGTATGATGAGATGGTATGATGAGATGGTATGATGAGATGGTATGATGAGATGGCATGATGAGATGGAATGATGAGATGGCATGATGAGATGGCATGATGAGATGGTATGATGAGATGGTATCTTTTTAATGCGGCACTGTCTTTTAATTAAGGAAATAAAAACAAACGACAAATGGCAGCTTCATGAAAGATATCTGAAAACACTGAAAGAATCGACCAAAATAGTTCCATTAATAAAGTAGTAACTGAGTTTATAAGGTAGGATTTACTTTCTGTCTGCCTGAAAACAATCCGAGAACTTAAAGTTAAATAAAAATCCTTTTAAAAGTTGTTGTTATTATTATTATAGCAGCATGTAATTGAGATGATAAAAATGAGAAGTAATATCTTGCCTTCTTTTCCTCTCAATTGTGGAACTACTTCTTCTCCCTGCAGTCTTTTTTTTTTACTTCCGTAGCAAATACATATTTAATTTATTATAAAAATAGTTAATTAATGAATTAATTATCATGTCAATCAAGAATGCGTTGCATTATTGCGCTCCTAAATGACTTGCTATTTTGAGTGGCTTTGAGTTTATTTCTAGAGGTGTCTCAACTCATATGATAATAAATTGAATGTAATTCGGCCTACTAATTTTCACAAATAGATAGAGGTGCTGTGTAGGCCTACCATTCTTCAAACCTAGTGTAATTGTTGAGTCATCCTCTAACACAGTGGTTGACTAGATATTTAGTGGATGACTGACTGTTAGGCTAAATATCTTAGGCGTTGCTAGTTAAGAGGTAAACTTACACATATTTGGTGGGGTGGGAGATCTACACAGTTTCCTTGTGTCCTTTTTTTTAAGGGGACGGTGTTGAGTTCATTGAATGAAGGTCTTCCTCATACAAAATGACTGTGGGGGCCGGTTAACCACTGAACATTCATAAGGCGAATGTGTTGGGTGCTGAATGATGTCAAATAACTGGTGTCAAAAAGTTGTTATTTTGGGAAGGGAGAAAGCTCTTTAAAAATCATTAAAAGAGCATGAAGCTGGCCCGGGGAGGGGGGGCTGGGAGAAAGGGGGCTGTAGACACAGGGGCGTCTATTCGCTGGACTTTTGTAAATACAAATAAATATTTATCGCGATTTTTTACACTTATTTTTTGTGGAAGAAAGTGGGAGAGTATGGGTTCTAAAACTACAGCAGACAGATAGGGGGTGTCAAGAGTACAGATTATTTTCGATTGGGATTGTGTACTAATAGAAAGGTGGAAGCGTTGTAAATGATGGTGTGGCGTCCATGCAGAGACCATTAAATAGCCTTAGAATTTAAATAATAGGAACATGAAATACGTTTTCCATTACAAAGTGTATGTTGAAATTGTATAGTGTTTTAATATGCTTTTAGCCAGTGGGTCATATACAAATGGTTGTGGGACAGGAATCAGCCCGCGGGCCGCTGTTGATCAAACTCCGCACTAACCTCATTGCACCGACCCACGCTAACCAATGCACGAGGATATTTGAGGTCGAGTTTTCAGATTTAGCAAACACAAAAAAGCAACAGGTCACTGACGGGTTAAACAAAGTGTCTGTGAACTGACAACAATTGTTCCACATACCAGGCTCTCTCCCCTTCCCGTCGACCGTCATTATCACACAGTTAACATCGTGTGTTGTCTGCTGCTGCTGCTGCTGCTACCTTTGTGATACAGACAGGAAACCACACACAGAAATTGTACACTTCAAGTAAGTTTAACATGCACATATCCAGCAACACTATTTTACTGTTCAATACTGTATTCTGCAAGTTTAATTAGTGTCACGTGGTCATCAAATAGCAGAGTGATATTTAATCACGTCACGATTTCAAAAATATATATTTTAAAAAATTGTCCATTGTATTTACGATGATGGTTTGTTTGCGTTTTTGTTCGGTGTTTCTGCGTTAACTTCTTGTGCAAGATTAATGTATCTACACAAAGAACGTGACTATAACCTTAGAATGCTGCCACTTACCTGAATGGTATACAACAAAAATTGTTTTCTTGTTTTTATCTACTCACTCCATACTTCATCCATTGCAACCATTGCGTCTGTCTTAAGCGTCAAATGTTTCTGCTCGATATTCCGTTGTTCCAAAGCTTCAGGTCACTTTTTCTTTAAAACAAGATTGGGACGTTATCTTTTTGCTCTATTTCTTTAAAGTGGTGGGGATAATAATTTTGTTTAGTGCTTAAACCCCATTACTAAGTTGGTAGAGGGAAGGTTGGTTTCCATGCCCTAAGAGGTTTAAGGAGAACCCAGGATGTGATTACTTGGATGACTTCTTTTAAAATTATGTTAGATATATCCTAAGTCCTAGGATCATTCATCCATTCCTGTGGCACTGAAGCTCATGTAGTTCTTTGACCTGCCTTACCACTTCCTTCCCTTCAGACCATCCATTCCTGTGGCACTACAACAGCCCATGTAGTGCTTTGGCCTGAAAAACAACTTCCTTCCGCTCAAACCAATGCTTTTTTGTTTTATGTTTGGATTCACAGCTGCTCTAGGTCTTTTGCCACATCATCCATTCATCTAAGCGTAGGTCTGCCTTTGATCCATCCATCTAAGCCTAGGTCTGCCTTTGATCCATCCATCTAAGCCTAGGTTTGCCTTTGATCCATCCTTCTAAGCCTAGGTCTGCCTTTGATCCATCCATCTAAGCCTAGGTCTGCCTTTGATCCATCCAACTAAGCCTAGGTCTGCCTTTCATCCATCCATCTAAGCCTAGGTCTGCCTTTCATCCATCCATCTAAGCCTAGGTCTGCCTTTGATCCATTCATCTAAGCGTAGGTCTGCCTTTGATCCATCCATCTAAGCCTAAGTCTGCCTTTGATCCATCCATCTAAGCCCAGGTCTGCCTTTGAGCCATCAATCTAAGCCTAGGTCTGCCTTTGATCAATCCATCTAAGGTTAGGTCTGCCTTTGATCCATCCTTCTAAGCCTAGGTCTGCCTTTGATCCATCCATCTAATCCTAGGTCTGCCTTTGATCCATCCATCTAAGCCAAGGTCTGCCTTTCATCCATCCATCTAAGCCCAGGTCTGCCTTTGATCCATCCATCTAAGCCCAGGTCTGCCTTTGATCCATCCATCTAAGCCCAGGTCTGCCTTTGAGCCATCAATCTAAGCCTAGGTCTGCCTTTGATCAATCCATCTAAGGTTAGGTCTGCCTTTGATCCATCCATCTAAGCCCAGGTCTGCCTTTGATCCATCCATCTAAGTCTAGGTCTGCCTTTGATCCATCCATCTAAGGCTAGGTCTGCCTTTGATCAATCCATTTAAGGTTAGGTCTACCTTTGATCCATCCATCTAAGCCTAGGTCTGCCTTTGATCCATCCATCTAAGACTAAGTCTGCCTTTGATCCATACATCTAAGCCTAGGTTATGTTATCTCATCATATGGTCTTCATATGGTCTCATTATGTGATCTCATCATATGGTCTCATCATATGGTCTTATTATCTGATCTCATCATATGGTCTCATCATATGGTCTCATTATGTGAGCTCATCATATGGTCTCATCATATGGTCTCATCATATGGTCTCATCATATGGTCTCATCATATGGTCTCATCATATGGTCTCATCATATGGTCTCATCATGTGATCTCATCATATGGTCTCATCAATGGTCTCATCATATGGTCTCATCATATGGTCTCATTATGTGATCTCATCATATGGTCTCATCATATGGTCTCATTATATGGTCTCATTATGTGATCTCATCATATGAGTTTTTGCCTTACTTATGTTCTTAGCATGGATCAGTAATATCTATGATAAAAATTATGAATATATTAAATTTCTGAAAATTCTAATGCATCTCTACATTTATCACTTTTAATTTTGGTTTATGCACAAAATGTCTTACTCTTAATTACTGGTAGGAAACAATGTAATACATTATTTTTACCAAAATTTCAAACGAATAGTTTTAATGGACGACTTTTAAGTGACTGCATCTTTTGTGGTACAATTAATTTTGTTTCGTATGTTTTGTTCATTTCCCCTTTTTGAGCATTAGGGTCCATGAAAATGGAATAAGCAAATTTTAGTTGACCTATATTTCTTTGGAATAATACCGCATTTTACATTACTAAGTAAATAGTGCAAATATTTGTATTTTTAAACTTTCTTACACTTATAAAAAAATAATTTATGGGAAAGAAATATTTTTAAAAATTGAAACATGTTATTAAAGTCTTTTTTACCAACTGTGAAAATGTGGGATTTACTTGGTTAGTGCCTTGCAATTGAATTAACCAATCATTTATTATTTTTGAACGGTATAGACTTTGATGAGACATGGCTAAAGCCCAGGTTTGGAAGCTGAAGACAGATTTTGATGGGATTCCTAAAGAAGAAGACTTTGAGCTGGTTGAAGAAGATCTGTTATCGCTAAAAGACAATGGTGGATATAATTTTGTTTTTACTAGCTTTGTATCTGAATGATATTTTGTTTTTTAAATTCAAAACACACATCCTATAATTTATAATTAGTTTCTGGGACAAAGTGTTTCTTTATTTATGTAATTTATAACATAAACTTAGTTATTATTGCTTATTGTAACAATATAGGCCAACTCAGGGGTGGGCTGGGGAGTTCAAGCGGCCCGGGAAAAAAACAAAAAGCAGCCCTATTTTCATGACTTTTATTTGTATTATATCACCGGTCCTAGCGGCCCATTATATCACCGGTCCTAGCGGCCCATTATATCACCGGTCCTAGCGGCCCATTATATCACCGGTCCTAGCGGCCCATTATATCACCGGTCCTAGCGGCCCATTATATCACCGGTCCTAGCGGCCCATTATATCACCGGTCCTAGCGGCCCATTATATCACCGGTCCTAGCGGCCCATTATATCACCGGTCCTAGCGGCCCATTATATCACCGGTCCTAGCGGCCCATTATATCACCGGTCCTAGCTGGCCATCGGGAATCTTCCCGTTGCCCTGGCGGTCCAGTCCACCCCTGGGCCTACTCCCATTATTTTGAAAGGTGGCTCCCATCAAATGAGTCAAAGCGTAACACTTCATAATATTATTCTTTTAATAACCTCTTCATGCTCCTTCTTTAAATTGTCACTTTACATTAATTTTTTTCCTAGAAATTTTAGTCCAAGCCGTTTACCTGAGTCTTAACCCTTATTTTAGGTACGTGTTTCTCTTGTTTGTTATATTTTTTTTTTGAATTTTTTCCCTTTAATAAAAATTGTAACAAGAGCAAAAAGAAAGTATATACCGTCCAAAACTATTTTCAACTCTTAAAAAGATGTCAAACTTCTTGTGAGGATCAGTTCCTTACCAAATAACTTTTGTCTTATCAGACCTTGTCTTTGTCTTATAACACCTTGTCTTTGGAAAGGGATTTTCATTTAGAGATTCACATGGTTTTTAAAAGCCCATTTATGTCCTTTTAGTTTAAAGTAAATGATTTAGTTTCTATCAATCAATTTAATCTTCTTTCTTGCAGAGTTGTTGCTTCTGTTCAAAAGGATTTACCAGGAGAACAGGTTGCAAAGTAAACTAACTCTACTCTATAACTTATAACAAAACTAGAAAATGTTTTAAAAAATTAACATGTTAAAAATATCAGACAAAAAATTTTCAGAGTACGATTTCTTTTATTCATCATATCATTAGTCTCAGTCATCATATCATTAGTCTCAGTCATCATAGCATTAGTCTCCGTCAACATAGCATTAGTCTCAGTCATCATTGCATTATTCTCAGCCAACATAGCATTAGTCTCAGTCATCATAGCATTAGTCTCAGTCATCATAGCATTAGTCTCAGTCATAATATCATTAGTCTCGGTCATCATAGCATTAGTCTCAGTCAGTCCTCTCCTGTAAATCAAATGTCACTTGCTCATCCACGCAGCTGTCAGCATGCAACAGCTGCCATATCCTGGGCAACGGCTTACACTAGCCGGGTAAACCAGGTGTGGGTAGCTGATGGGCTTCAAGCACTTAGTGATTTTGGTCTGCCTACCAAATGCATGCAAAGACTGAACGTCGACGGATCCTGCGTAAGAAACCATTTAGGTTCAACGAAGGTGAAGGCGATTACAGCAACGCACCGTGGAGTGCGTAGAGCAAGATGAGGCACGTAGAACATCTTGGTCATCCACTGCATCCGTACCATTTCCGGTCGTCTTGACATAGTCTTGCCACTGGACACGGTGGGTCCGGACGAGAGAGTTAGGTTGACGCTGCGCAACTCTTCCTCACTTTAAACAAAATCACCCGCGCAAGTCATCAGTCATCCAACTATACTCATCATCCCAAGTCTCGTGGCGACAGGCAGGCTCTCCTAAATGCATGACGAATGGGCAAGAATAGGTGCCCAAAAGAATGCCTGCTCCTTCACACACTAGCCGACTTTGAAATTGTGTTCAATACGCCGTCCATCATTAATGATGAGGCCATTTAAAGACTCCCCCAGGTCCCAACAAACAATTCACTGGATGCCGTCCCAACTTTTAATGAGATACAGACAGCGATCCGCCAAATGTCCAATGGCAAAGTACCTGGCCCCGACATGATTCCTGCCGAAATCTACAAGGAGGGTGGACCAGGGCTGACGGATTAGCTATTGCGCTTATTCCAAATCATCTGGCAGACGGAAACTGTACCACAAGACCTCAAGGATGCTTCAATTATCCACCTGTACAAACACAAAGGAAACCGCCAGGCCTGCGACAATCACCGCGGAATTTCACTACTGTCCATTCCAGGCAAGATCTTGGTCCGAGCCCTTCTGAGCCCCGCTGAATGCACATCTGGAGCTAGGTCTCCTACCCGAAAGTCAATGCGGTTTCCGCAAAAAAACGCATAACCATCGATATGGTGTTTGCTGCTAGACAGCTTCAAGAGAAATGCCAGGAACAAAATACAGACCTATATTCTACATTTATCGACTTGAATTAGGCCTTTGACAGGGTCAATAGAGGTGGCTTGTGGAAAATCATGAATAAATACTGATGCCCAGACAAGTTCACCATCATCATCCGTCAGCTGCATGATGTCATGATGGCCCGAGTGCAGGACAACGGTCAATCATCTCAAGCATTTCCCGTCACAAACGGTGTAAAGCAGGGTTGTGTTCTTGCTCCCACACTCTTCAGTATTATGTATTCTGCAATTATGTCTGATGCGTTTAAGGACTCCACCACGGGCTTGCCAATCCGGTTTCGTACTGATGGATCAGTATTTAACCCTAGGAGGCTTCAAGCTAAAACCAAGGTCAAACATACCACGATCAACGAGCTTCTGTTTGCAGACGATTGTGCCCTCAACGCTTCCTCAGAAGCCGTCATGCAACACAGCGTTGATATCTTCTCTGAGGCCTGCAATAACTTTGGCCTCACAATCAACACAAAGAAGACTGAGATGATGTATCAGCCAGCTCCCAGTAAGCACTACGTTGAACCCAACATCATCATCAGTGGACAGTTTCTCAACCCGGTGGATAAATTTACTTACTTGGTCAGCACCCTCTCTAGATCCGTCGTCAAGGATGATGAAATGAATGGCAGACTTGCAAAAGCTAGTGCAATATCTGGCAGGCTCCGCAGCACTGTTTGGGACAGGAGAGGTATCAGACGAGAAACAAAGCTCAAGGTCTATAGCGCAGCAGTCCTCCCGACACTGCTCTATGGATGTGAAACGTGGACAGTCTACTAGAGTCACGGCAAGAAACTGAATCATTTTCACACTACCTGCCTCAGGAAACTCCTCGACATCAGGTGGCAAGACAAATTCCCCGACACCGAGGTCCTCGCTAGAGGGAACCTACCTAGTATCTTCACCACTCTGATGCAGTCTCAGCTCCGTTGGATGGGACACGTAGCCCGTATGGAAGACCACCGGCTCCCGAAACAATTATTCTTCGGAGAACTCACAATAGGCAAGCGCTCCCAAGAATAACCACAGCTGAGACACGCAGGCTTGTCCGAAAGAGCAACATTAGGTCACCGTCTGAAGCAACTATTCCATGCCCACGGTGTCTTAGATTATTCCTAGCAAGGATCGGTCTAGCAAGCCACCTACGAGCACACCGTAATCCCAACCTCCCCCTAACCGGATGACTCGATGGTCCTAGTCGACTTCGACGGACGAACAAAAAAAAAAAATCTCAGTCACCAAAGCATTAGTCTCAGTCATCATAGCATTAGTCTCAGCCATCATAGCATTAGTCTCAGTCATCATAGCATTAGTCTCAGTCATCATAGTATTAGTCTCAGTCATCATAGCATTAGTCAATATTTCATGCCACAGGATAATTGAGAGCAAAGCCACTGATTTCCCAGTGGGCTCGTTGGTTTGTGTCCATGCTGGCTGGAGGTCTCACACAGTTGTTGATGTGACACTGGCTCGAGGTTCAGGAAACAGTGTCGAACTCATCCAGGAAGTGCCAGAGTTATCGCTATCTCTCTGGTTAGGGGCAGCTGGAATGCCAGGGTAAGTTATTGTATTTTGTTTTTTATCTTGAAAGTTATTTGAAGATTATGTCAGCCAGAACAATCCTTTAAGAGCATCATGTCTTAAATAAATAAGTTACCTATTATTCAATCATAGTGACGCATTTTAGCATACAATTTATAGACAGTGATTCTCAAGCTTTTCTGATTACAGAACAATAAATTATTCAAAACTTTTTGTGGCACATTCTGAAAAAGAGTGCATTTTTGGTGGGGTAAAAGTTATTTATTTTATCATAAATTCTTGTCTTTAAGAGCGTATCAATAATATCATATTGCACAGAGAGTTTGATGTCATCAAACAAGTTTACATTTTGTTATCGATTCAAAGAAGTCTTGAGCTTTTTGGATTTGACTCAGTCAATGCCGAGAAACAGAATTTTTAAAAAACCACTAAGCTGCAGATTACTTGAGATTGCTTTTGAAGCTATTGCAGGATATGATATCTTGATGGAAATCCAAAACTCATCCAAGCTGGGCTCATTAATTTTAACTGATGAAATGTATTCATTCTAAACTGAGTGAACATGCAATATCTGATCTTAGTTCTTCTTTCTCAGTTGTAAGATGTGTTGATTCATTGAGTTCAAGTGGATTCATCACCCATCCATGTTCATCAATGACAACTGATGGGAAATAGATGGGAAGTGTTAACTCTATCACCCATGGTGCTTGAGATTTTCTTGAACAGTTTTCTTTTTAACTGATTTTCATTAAGTTTTGGGAAACAATCCAGGATTCCTTTTAAAGTTTTGCTCTTCATCAACATATTTTAGCTTTGATGTTGAAGTAATAATATTTTCTGATGGACCTTGACTGTTATTTAATTTTTTTTCAGAGTGACTGCATATTTGTCTTTCCTTGAGAAATGCGACCCAAAGTCAGGAGAGGTCATTGTGGTGACTGCTGCATCAGGAGCTGTAGGGGCAACTGTTGGACAACTGGCCAAAAATTTAGTAAGTAGTGTATTTGTAGGTCTCACCCAATACCCTATCACAGTGGTCGACAAATCACGGCTTGCGAGCCACATGCAGCTCTTTTTCGACCTGAGTGTGATTCGGACATTTGGACACAAATCAGCTTTGAATCCAAAAAAAATGGTTCTTGACAGGTTCTTGAAAAGAAATTTGGCGCTCAAATTTTTAATCATCCTGCAGCTAACTTTTGGCTCTTTTAACCAATAAGTTTGCCGACCACTGCCCTATCACATAACAAAGTAAATGCCATATCATGTAACATACTTGTATATATTTTTGTTATATGTGTGTCTGTGAGAGAAACTAAAAAAAAGCAGCTTTAGTATTCAATTATAGACGCTTATAGATATTCATTTCACCTTTAGGGTCTGACAGTGATTGGGATTGCTGGTTCTAAAGACAAATGTGAATACATCAAGTCACTAGGATTTGATTACGCCATCAACTACAAGGAAGACAATATGTCTGATGCCCTGGACAAGGCTGCACCAAATGGTGTAGATATTTACTATGATAATGTAGGTTGGATTTGATTTTTTAGAATATAGGAGCTAAAATGTTTTTACACCATACATTTCTAGATTTTAAAATAACAGTTTTTATTTAATCAATAATACAATCTAACCTCAGGGGAAGTGTTTTTTTATGTTCATCAAATTTTAAAGATGCCTTTATTTGCAATGGAGAGCAACACACCTTTGTTACGCACTGACTTGTATTGGGAGAAATTAATCTCCTATTTTAATTTTAATTGGCACGTTGTTACCAGTGCCTAACAAAGGACGATACCATAGAATCAACAATATTAAAGATATGACCCAAAACAGTTTCTAGTTACAATTAATAAGATTTATTAAGTCTAAAGATAATTACAAAAGAAAAGAAAATATAATGACAATCTTCAACTTACAGTATGGCAGATCTCGTACCGGTACACAATTAATACAGTTAGAAATAATGTGCCAATAAATAATGCGAAATAAACACATTTGAGCACACAAATACATAAAGAATAAAACACGCCTCGTAATGTTAAGAAAATCTATCTGAAAAATCTCCGTCCTTCGTATCTGTCAATCCTTTATATACATGTAGCGTAAGACGCTTCCTGAAGGACCTATGACGTGTTGTTTACATATCTCGGGTTAAGGAGTACAATCGAGAAGTTACCCGGAGACATTCTACCCAATGCGTAATTGGAAGCCGATTGTAAACAAGCTACTTCAAAGAGATTTAGCCACGCCCACAACAGACGTTACTGTCTGCTAGGAGTGTACTACGGAGGTCGAGGAAAGTTTACGCACAGGAAATCGTGCTACATAACACCTTAATCATCATATGCAATTACTGAAGTCATTTTCATATTTATTTTTTTTTTTTTTTGCTTGTGCTTTGGTACCTAGTGTTTTTAATTATCTTCAGTTTAACTTGTTTTAAATGTTAATGCACTACTGGTAAATAAGGACATTCTTAATGGTAACTGACCTAGATGCTCAATGAGCTGTATGTATGTATTGCATGAACTGTATGCATTATATGCAGTAACACCATAATATACATTAAAATGGGGTTTATGCAGAGGTTTATTTATCCACAGGTTGGTGGGACTATAGCTGACACAGTTTATGGCAAACTAAGAGACCATGGCAGGGTTTTGATTTGTGGTCTCATCTCTAATTATAATACTTCAGAAGAGAAGGGTAATATTTAGTTGAATAATTAACATGAAGCATTCCATTGCTTTTTGTTCTATTAATAATATTTTTTAAAAAATAATAATTAATATAACCAAGATAACTTAAATAAAAATAATTAAAATTAATTTTTAGCTCTATAATATTCATAGTGATAAAATTTGATATGGAATAATTTTTTTCAGGCAAAAACTGGAGTAAGGATATTTTGTTTAAAAAGCTTAAAATCCAAGGCTTTATAGTATATGATCCTGCGAATTTAGCTAAGTTTTCTACGACAAGAAATGAGCTTATTTCTCTTCTTCTGCAGGTAATTGTCGCTTAACACCAACTTTTTCCAATATCAGTCACCCCATTTTAATCTGGACTTAATTTGCAAGTTTGTGGGGGGGGAAGGGGGAGGACAGAGTTAAGTCAAATAGGAAAAGTTTGAGAAATGCAGAACATTCTAGCCTCTTAATTATTTTATTTTTAAAAGTCTAGATCATCTAGCTGAACAACTGATACAGTGATTAATCAAACAAATTATCAACAATTGAGTAATTTCCACAACTAGTTGTGTATGTATTTCAATAGACAGCAAAATGATTGGAATAAGTTTATTTATCTTTTAAAAAATAATTTTCAGTCTGTTAAAAAAAAGTAATTTACAGTGCTTAAGTTGAATTTTAAGAAAGTGGTGAGTACCATAATATGATATGAGTACTTTAGATGTTTATAATGTGGTGTGTACCATAATATGATATGAGTACTTCAGATGTTTATAATGTGGTGAGTACCATAAAGTGATATGAGTACTTCAGAGAGATTTAACTACTCATATCATGAATATTATATTTATAAATTATAATATCTGGGAACTGGATGTCATTACTCCTGTTATTTCATGTTTCATTCTGTCAGAATAATTTTGTTCCAGGGAAAGGTGAAGGCCAAAGAACACGTGACAGAAGGCTTTACCAAAATGCCAGCTGCTTTCATTGAATTGTTCACTGGAGCAAATTTTGGCAAGGCAATTGTTAAGGCTTGAGATCTTTGTAATAATGTATCAAATGAACGGATGAGAAAATATTACATGTTCTCATTTGTTTTTCATTTACTTCAAATTTTAATTTTTCACAAACAACAATTTTATCATACCTTTTATTTTATTTTTTTTCTGCTTCTGCTGGAATTCAAAGTAATTTATAGGTTTATAAAACCATTTTGTATTTAAACTTTTCTTACTTAATTTTTTATTATACTAAACTCAGTTTTTTTTTTTAAATGCACATTCTCTCTAATTTTGTGCAATAAAAATGTTAATTTATCTTAATCATCTGTGTTTGAAAATATTGTGTGTAAGTTTTGAACCATTTAATTTGGATACAATGTGTGTAAGATGGATACAATTAAAATTATGAAAGAATCAATTTCAATATCAGGGTTTTGATTGTCATAAAGCTTTTTTATCAATTTTAGTGACATAATTTAAGATACAGGAGGTATGTTCTTTTTATAGCGGCGTGTTGTGTGCAATTGTGTTTAGTGTTTGTATGTGTTTAAGTTTGTGGGAAATTACAAAATAGATAATAAATGTTGTTGTTTATTTACTTTTGAATAAATATTTTTTCTATTGACTTAATAAGCTTAAGTTTTTTTGTGTTACTGGTAAACTATTTTTTTCTTCAAAGACACTAACGTATAAAGCAAACATTTAATCTCCCTCTCATTAATCACATGAAGTTTGGTGCCCCCCCCCCCCCCCCCTCCCCCC